CACCCCTTCCCACATGTATTCCCGACGATGACAGCGACGACTCGGACTTGGATTTAGTGGCACTTTGTAAGGATGTCAGCTGTCAGAGCACCCGCCGTACGATTAGCCACCCGTCCAATAACGGGAAATACATCATTTGCAATGATAGCCAATCGGGTAATACTATCCAAAAGTGTGGACCAGGATTACTGTTTGATGAGAAGGTGCTGTCCTGTAATTATGCCGGTCTTGTAGACAGTAGGGGACCATCAGGAAAGGTATTCTGGCATTGATTGTATGGGACGGACAGCCTATTCAGGAAATACTTAAGTAGTTTAAATGAAATACAAAAATTGATTTTAAATTTAATTTAGTTTATGTTTCAAACTTAAATAAATTTAAATATGACAGCATTTATTTTGAAAAGTATCTAAATTTTAATTTGTTATTAAAATTATGGCATAAATTCTAGTCAATGAAAATGTGTTGCCTTTAACTGTAAGCAATATTTGCTGGGTAATTTAATTTAAAAATAAAATATAACTTTTTATAGATTTATGTAGTAAAACTCAAACATTAAATTAAAAATTTGCATTTAGAAAGTTACTGAATTATTAATTCAAATCAATATAAATAAATTCAGTATGTATGTTATTAAAATATTTATTCGGGTTTAAATAGAACCTTGTATGTAATATTCCGTTGGTATAAATTTATAAAGTTTTAAGATTTCCAAGACAATTCTAGTTTACTATACAGCGTTTATAAGCAGGCGCTAGGTGATTATTATTTGTAAGAACTATTATACATTAAAAACAAGTTTTTTCTACATGAGTTGCGACAAAAGTTTTCTATTGAAATACAGTATAATATATGGAGCGCTTAATACTTTTGCCACACGTTTACACAAATCATTTAAACAATTCTTACGGCATTGTATCGACAGCACAGTTATAAATTAAGCAATGTCTGAGTGCAAGGTTTTGAATGTAAGTACGCCACCCCTATAAACACGCAAAACTAACCAGGATCTCTTTGTGCCTAAAATTATTATCCGCTGGACTTCGACCCCTCAAAGATCCCACGGCTACGGCCGCCGAATACCCGACAATATGCGGGGCAACACATGCGGCGACTATATAGCGAAGGGCAAGAAGTTTAAAGCCCGGAAGGGGGAGACATATTTCGGCTTAAAGGTGTTCCGCTTCTACATGCGGTGCCCCCGCTGTATGGCTGACATCACACTCAAGACTGATCTCAAGAATATGGACAAAGTGGTGGAGCATGGAGTGACACCTATTTTCAAAGCCTTACAACTGGGGGAACGGGAGGTGGAGGGCAGACAGGAGGAGAAGGAAGAGCACCTGAATCCTATGAAAAATTCACGAAACAGTCGCACCGGGAGTTGGAGACCACGGAGGTGTTGGAGGACTTGAAGCAATTGAATGAACGGAACCGCGATTTGATGGACGTTTAGAAGGTGTGGTGGGATCGACGGGTGTCGGCATACCAGTGCCGCATGATTCGGTCAATAAGCTAATGGATAAGGAGTTGGAGGTCGAGGAGAGGGAGCTGTTGGCCCGGATTAGAGCCGGTGAGGGGTCGGGCGATGACAGCAGCGATAATGAGGTGCGGCTCAAGTTTGCGGTGACTTTCGGTACGATCGATGGGTTGAGTAATAATAAGAGTGACAATTGTTTGAGTAATCAATTGGTGGCCAAAGAGTCGCTGAAACGAAAGATCGATAACTTCGTTGTGGTTAAGAAAAAGTGGTCAAAAGTGATGATAATTGTCCGCATAATACAAGTCGAGTGGATGTGGAGATAATGTGAGCAAAAGTCATAGAAATGCAAATATATTAGCAAATATTTTACTCAATGTATGCGCTTATGTCTCGTCTGATAGCGAATGAAAACTTAAAATTAAATTCATTTTTATGACAAAATTATTTTTTGACACTTTTAATTTATAATTTAATCATGTGTGTTTATTTTCATTTACTTCGTATAGTTTTCATTAAAATGTTCATATTTTCAGTTGAATATTTATTTCAGATATGCAATATTAATCTATTTATATAAAAACAACTCTAACTATTATATATAGAATTAAATTATTTGAAAATATAAAATTATGGGTATCTCAATACAGTATTAGACATAATATTTACATAAAGTGTCCAGTGTAAAGTTTTCAAGTATTACTTAATAATCGGTATCTACTCTATAATGTCATATGATTTAAATTTTCATAATCTTAAGCACTATTAAACAAGTGATAAAATATTAGACAACAAACCCATAGATTATATGAAAGTAACCCTTTTATAAATGAAAGTATTGTTTCAAAAACACATTCATTTCTGGTTTCCATACATAACCTTCTGATGTGAGCGTATTTGCAGTCCTTTATGTCAATGTTATCATTGATTTAAACACTTTTTTCCATTGTATACACAATTGGTTAATAAATTCACATGAATTTTGAACGGCTGTTGCTTTCATATACGAGTTTATCATTGACTTTGAGACTAATCATAAATATATTACTTTCAAAAAGCACTTATAAAACCCTATTAATACCGTGTAATATAAAACTAATCGCAAAACTTTTCGACCCATAGATCCTATTTGCGAAAAAACATAACTTTTTAATGTATAATAAAACTAGTTTAGTGTTAATTGTATGGAAAAGTGTTTACCAATAAATATTAGATATAAAAAGCTATGTATAAATAGACAAGTGAAAATATATTGTCAATTTCCGATTTGTATATTTTTTTAGGCATAACTTGTAAGTTAGGCACTAATAGGAAAGGCTGTCAAAAAAGGGGAACTCCATGCAGAATTTATTTTGTAATTAGCATGCACTTCCTATACCACTCAAAATGGGATTTATTTATATTTATCGACGTTTGATGGCAAATAATAGCCAATAAACTAAAATCAAGTGACGATAAGAAAAGGTGACAAATATTTTGAACAATTTGATGAGAAATATGTGTCTTATTGCTAATCAAACGGATGACTAATATAGCCATAAGTTTTTAAAATAGGCTTTACTTTATCCATGAGATAAATACAGTAAATATGGATACAAGCGATAAAAACACTCATTGAATGCTAAACTCCACACTAATTGCGAAAATATTTGTGTCTCTGTCTGTGAACTGACAAAGACTTTGTGAAAGACTTTGTGAACCAAAACACAAAACTTTTTTCTCGCTAATAGCTGGCGGCGATTGACTCATGCATTGCATCGGCTATTCATAACTCAAATCTGTTTTAACAGTCTATGAGTGGCAGAGGTTTCCCATTGTGTCGACAAAAAGGCATTCAATTCACTGGTGTTTTAGTGCAGAGTTTGGGGCGTTTTCTCACAGCAGTGGACGTCATATGTGTTACACACGAGAGTCGCGTAAACATTGCTCACTAAAAGTCCTAATCATAGATAGTATTGATCAGTATATTTAGATTTTTAATACCAAATAATTAACAAACTTTTCATTAATTCAGTGCTCAGTTTGCGAGCAATGATTTCATACCATATTTACAAACATTAAAAGTGACCAAAACATATTTGACATTGTTTATATTTGTGTGACTAGTGTTGACAGTTTACAAACGTAGCATATATTTTGTGTGATTTAAACCCCTGTATACCCCCCGAACCCTCCGTCCACTCAACGATGGCTAATACCATGAGTTATCAATCGTTGAAACCGATCATCGATTTGACTGAATGTCTGACGGATTCACCGAAATTCAGGTCTGTTTTCATCACATCATATGACATATGGTTTACCACTGTTTGCAGCGACACCTCCCCCCACACCCCTCCCTATTAGGTGTCAGTACCCCTCACAGGGTAGCCATACCCTCAAAATTACCCCCAATTTATTCATAAACATTATCAACAAGGTATTACTATATATTGTCGTAATACCTGTTGGTGCTAGCTACTATTTACAAACATTGATCACATGACTAGTTTAAGGGGGTTTATATGGATTTTACTACCTGGGTACATTTAAAATACTAATATAATCGTTCACTAACTCACTCACTACTCCCACCCCTGACTAACCCTCTAATATACTAATGAATTAATTGATGTGTTTTTTGTCAACCATTTGATTATAGACTGGTTTTGGAGCAAAACGAAAACGATTTACTCGAGTTTGAGACTAAAATTGATAAAGTATACCACCATTTAAATGATCTTTGTAGTTTTAGTGTCGATTTTAGACTAGACAATAGTTGACACAACTTTCCCATAAGTTTTTTGCAGAAAACGATTTACTCGAGTTTGAGACTAAAATTGATAAAGTATACCACCATTTAAATGATCTTTGTAGTTTTAGTGTCGATTTTAGACTAGACAATAGTTGACACAACTTTCCCATAAGTTTTTTGCGTACAAAATGTTTTGTGCGAAAAGTTTGTTGTGTTTTATGTTTTGTTGAACTTTTCATATCTCATTAACTATTGTTTTAATTGTAAAAATACTGTTTTATTATTAATGATTGCGTTTAATGTTTGTTTTGTTAATTAATTGTTTAATAGTAATGCCCACAAAAATATATAACAATAGTTGTTATCTAAAACACAGACTTTTTAAAGTTATCATTAATAGTCTTAACACTAGTTTTTTGGTGTTGTTTTTGACACTTCAGACATTTTCAAACAATTAGCAATTTATAATATTTTAAATATAAACAAAAATTAACACTTTTTTGTTTTATTTATATCAACAGATCGTTAAGTTATGTGCAGTTATGGTAGAAATCGGCAAATCATTCATCAAAGCCAAGAGGTATTCCTAAACAATTAATTTAAATCCTTTTCCACTCGTTATCTCTCGGTTTAATCACTCGTTTGGTGTATTACTCATCGAAAATAATCTCACTTTAAATATGTGTTGTTATGTTTGCAATGAAAAATATTTTTATACACATTTTTATTGCTGTTATCTCAACAATAATACGGAAATCATAATTAGTAATCAATTAATAGTGTATTTTA